TTTTTTTTTTTTTTTCAGAATTGTGAACCATCGTTTTAATACATCTATGATGGAGGTATAGCATTAAAAGAACTTGATTTTACTTACAAGCAAGGAAATGTTGGAAAATTAAACCTTAAAAAATAGGCATAATTTGAGGAGCAACCCAAATAGATTTGTAAGGTTACTTACTATAGTTTCTCTTGGATGGAGGAGGATAGTTGAACTGATAAGGCTAGAGGGAACAGCAGTTTTTATAGAAGCTGTATTTTGGAAAGACCCTGGTTCAAGGATACTGGCAAATAACTCAGGCTTTAGACTGTGCTTGGGATGCCAGGACAAACCAAAGCTTCCTATAGCTAAGCTCTGGTGAACAGGCAGCTATGGAAGGATAATGGCCTACCCAGGTGCTTACAGGCTACTGTGTGGGAGCCTAAATTAGATGAATCTTAATTTGTGAAGGAAGGTGTGGTCAGAGGCATCTTAATAGGAGCATCCTGAAACCCATCTCTACCCAGGAATTGAGGCGCAGCTCTGGAATGTGTGCAGTGGCTGAGTGAGGACTGACACACTCCTAGGGTATGTAGCATAGGCTGAGAAGTCCCAGTCTACCTGACTCCAACACATAGTATATGACCTGAGGGGAGTGGTAATTCTGTTTACAGGAGACTAGGAGGTGTCTCCGTCGCCATCGTATAAGTGCCTGTCCCACAAAGTCAGCAGTGTAACTAGGTAGTCCTTTAATATTCAGAATTGGTTGTAATTTTGCCAGAGTGACCTTTGATGTTCAGAGCCAGAACCCCTAAAAGTTTGCTAGCACTAGGAATGACAGATGGTGTTTTAGAATATAGTCTTCATATATTTATGGTTACCCGTCCCTCACCCTCATGACTCCTCTGAGCCTTCAGTTTGTCTTTCCTCTGCTGGTGGTGACTAGATTGCCTGCCTTTACTCTTTCTCTTTCATCCTGCTAATCCTTTAAACCTTCCTTCTTGAGTTTCTTGAGGAAGCAGAAGGTGGTGTGGTAATATAAGAGGTAGGAAGATAGCAAAGCAAAAACTAACATGGCAGTGTTCTCCTATCCTCAGTTGCTTTTTATCTCTCTTATCCTCAAGGGAAAACAAAATAGTGTACTTCTGAGAGAGAGACAGAGACTGCTTCTACTTGGGACTTACCATGAATTGCTTGTGTTTTCTTCACATACAGGAGCACTGGGCCCTGTTCTCAGGACCTGAGATGCTGCTTGGTATAGCTTAGCTTCATACTTGATAACAAGGAGAGAATGCCAGCCTTAGTTGAAGAAACTTGTCCTTTGTCAAGATGCAGTGGGGCTAAGGAAAATAAATGAGCCCTATAGTAAGGATGATTTTTATCTCCTGAACATTTCAAGAGGTACTTACTTTGACAGGAGAGGGTTGGTGGGGTTTCACCTTGATATAGGCCCTTCCTGGTCAACTTCCTAGGTTTATGGTAAAGATCCTGTCTTTTACTCCATATTCATCTCAAGTCCTTTCCTCATTAAAAGTTTATATCAGCAGAGTCCCCATTTGACCTGCCGAGCATGTAGTTACAAGAACACATACTTAATTGTAGGACTACTACAGGAGATAACAATATAGTTTTACCAAAGGCATGTGAGTCCTGCTAATTTAGGCTTTTCTTGTTGGTTTTTTGTTTTTGGTAGTATTAATACTGACTATAGGCCAAATAGATTTTCATGGCCAAGCTAGAGACCTATAAACTGTATATCACTGTAGTTTTAGTTCTAAACAAGTGAATCTGTAAACATAATGATATTTAAAGTGCAAGCCAGTTTAAAATTTTGAGCACAGGTGGTAACACGGGGTTTTGCTAAATGTGGCTCAGAAAGCTCCAGCATTAAAAATTATAATGCATGATCAAAGTGGGAGGTGCTTTGAGTACAGTGGAGTCACTGACGATAAAGGAACAGGGTCCGTGTGAAGGGTTGTCAAGAGTCTGAAGCTGAAGTGTGTCAGAACCTTAAGTAGCTGGAGGACAGTCTGAATGTGGCAGCTCATAAGAAGGCTGGGCTCTGCAGGTTCGTAACGACTGCTTCAGAGGCTTTTGCATGTTGGAGCATAGCTACTATGTGCATTCTTACTGGATTAAATCTGATAATATTTACTGCTAAGATCATTAAGTGCTGTGGTAGCAAACTGCTCTCAAGAGTGTGAAAGGGCCCTTAGCAGCAGACCTGAAGTTAGCAGGTGTGTATGGAATACTGGATTTACTATGAGTGAGCTCTTATTACTATCTGGAGGCAAGATTGAAGCCTTCCCGGCAGAAACGTGACCAGTCCAACAGTACACACATAGCTAGAGAAGCGTTTGATAGATTCCACAGGATGCTCAGATGAAAGAAGTGAAAATTTTCACAGAATACTTAAAATTTGAACTAGATCTTGAAGACCAATGAATGGTTTTTACCCTAGAGAGAAGGGTGACAGTGGGGGGAGGGGAGGCAGTGAGGGAGAATGGGTATGACTGTTCCAGCCAGTATTAATAATGTACAGGAAAGAAGGATCAATGTTGAGAAAGCAGAATAGATTCTGGTTCTCCTCGAGTGAGCCAGGTAGGGGTTGAAAAGATGAGATTAGAAAGGTAGCTTGAGGCTAAATTGGAAAGATACTTATCCTTCGTACAGGAACCAGGATTCCCTGTAGATAGAATTTTTTTTTTTTCTCCCTGAGTTTTGCTAGTTTCTAAAGAAATACCATAAGCATGACCAATCTAAAAATCTGTTAACAGTAGAGTTGAATCTGAAATAAAAGCTTCTCACTTTTGCCTGTTCTCATTCCTCAGTGGTAACCATTGTTAATATTTTGCCATATCCTACTTCAGACTCATTCTGCGCCTTGCTTTTAATTCTGTTTGGTTTTTGAGACAGGGTCTCCCTGTAGCCCTGGTTGGATGAAAATTGCTATGTAGACCAGACAGGCCTCGAACTCTACAGACATCTGCCTGTCTCTGCTTCCTGAGTGCTGGCATTTAAAGGCATGTGCCACCATACCCAGCCCTTTAATTTTTTTTTAGCTTATTAAATCAGAGGAATGTGTTGAAAAGATAGCTCTTGTTTCAGGGTAAAACATGCTATGGCAAGCATTTATTCGATGAATTAGTTATTGTAAGCCTAAACTGTGTTTTGCTTTGTTGTAGGCCTTGTAGAACACAAAGGTGGGCATCCATTAGGAACCCTTCACAGTACCCTAGATGAGGATCCATAGTCCTGAAAGCCAGTGGAAATGCATCAGAGAACGTTGTGGAAAAATTGGGACTAACTCATTGAGTGGCCGTGGGAAGTGAGAGATCTGGGTATACTTAGGATGCTCATGGTTTCTAATTTAGGAATTTAGTGAACCGCAGTAGGGAAAAAATGTGTGTTGTTTTTATATTTGTAGTAGCTGAAGCCTTGGGAATGGGTACACTTGGGCAATGAGACTCGAGGTCATGCAGGTGAACTGTTCATGCAGGTGAACTGGCGAAGGAAACAGAAGAGTGGTCTTAGAGGAGAGTATCGCTTGAGGGGCCCAATGGTGAGAGGTTTGAGGGGGTAGTCAGATGAGGGTAACACTGAAAGGAAGCTTTTGGAGTTGATAACTAGAAGCTTAAAATAATTGTGCAGCAGTTTCAGGTGCTGTTGTAGCATGCGAAGATACCTGGGGAGAAGGAGCAGCAAAGACAAGGTGGGCTCTGCTGGAATCAGGAGGTGGCATATATATTGACATCTTTCTCTAGGCATTTTTCCAAATATAAAGGTTATTTCTTCAGAGGTCTGATAGCCAGAATGGGATGGAGAACATACAAATAAGATACCAAGAAGTCAAAATAGATGCTGCAGACTCACTATACTCTAGCTTCCATGCCTACCCTTGGCAGAATTCTTTAGACCCAGCTATTAGGTACTGTTGACAAATCCACACACAGTTCTAAAATCTTATTACCTTGGCTTCCTGGGCCGTGACTGGTTAGAAGGAACCAATTAAGGGGTATGCTTGAGATTTTGTGTAGAGTACAGGGAGTGTCAAGCATGCTGATAACTGCAGGAGGAAATAACACATAACCTGAGGGAAGAAGAGATCAGAACACACAGAGACAGGCACAAGATTCCCTTAGCCTCTGCCCCCATTCACTGCTGAAGCAAAAGAACTATCGAAGCTGTACATAGTTCAGTAAGCTGTGTTTCCTTCTACTTTGGGGTGCCCTAAGCACGGTCGCTTTTATAGCTCCTTGTTTTCTAGTATTTTGAGGGTTAAGAACCTTGCTTGCAGTTCAGCCTCATCTTCCATTTAGCCTCCTTCACCCTGTACCCTTGGTTTTGTTTCCCATCCTTAAAACAGGCTCCTTCCTGGAGTCCAGCATATGCTGCTTGGGCTTTCAAGAATTCTTTATTTTCTTGCCCTCTTCTCCCCTTAATCCCTGATCTTCCTTCAGATATCAGTTCAGTTGTTCCTTAGAAAGGCCAGCATTGACTCCGGCTGGGTGCTGCTCTGAAACTGTTCACTTTCTTTACAGCACTTACCTCAGCTTATAATTCTAAACTTCTTTGTATGGCTACTTGATTATCTCTTCAGTTGTTTCCAAGGTCCTTTGCTCCCAGTGCTAGACACACAACAGGCATTCAAAGTAAGTATGTGAGGCATGTCTTACGGAATACCTGAGTAAAATCTCTTTGACTTTGTCAACCAATGGCACCTCCTGTGTCTATAATGCCATTACTGCCAGATAGATCTATTCTGTATATGGACAACTATTATTAAAATACTTATTCCCAGACAATTTGACAATCTGGGCCTTATGTACCAATAAGCAAAACAAAACATCTGGGTGCTCATCTCATCCCTCTTCTTTGCTCACTAAGGCTTTATTTAAAGCAAAATGTATATGCTATATAAAGTGAATTAACTTAATATCTAAGAGATAGGGAAAGGTAACCATTTTCCTTCTGAAATTATAAACAAAATTTATTTTTTTGAGGACCAGGCCTATAGTCAGTTTTATCAGATTCACAAAAAGTCTGCAACCCACTCCCTCACTTTGTAGATAGGAGAATGAATAATTTAAAACGTTGATTCCAATTCTGGAAGTAATTTGTGGCAGATCCAAAGAGTCACAGAGTCCCCGCTGTTGTCCACTGTGTAGGGCTGGCTTTACGAAATGTCCAAGTCCGTGGTAGTAATGGCACTACAGATGGAGAAGGCAGCTTAAGTTGACAGCTGACAGGTTCACTCGTGTAATTGTGGGTTCAGACATGCCTCACACATTAATTTTAAATGTCTATTGAGAGTTGTAAGCTATTTGAGCCAGAAGTGGTTTTGTTGCCTAGTTTAATGATCTTACTTTCCATATTGAAGAAATTGTTGTCTGGAGAAATAGAGTGAACTAGCTAGGTAGGAAGCCCCAGAATACAGATTAGGAAATTGGATTTTTTTCTTGGGTTTCTGCTTATTCTAAATAGTGCATACTTATAATCTTTGCTGTTCTTCTGGGAAAGATACTCTGTGCCTTTAGAATAGAACAAATTAATACTTTTCTCAATTTGAATATGACGTATACCATTATAATGTCAGTATTCTAAGGCTTGCCTGTCAGGGTAATTCAAATGCACGTTGTTTCACCTCGATTGTAATGGGGACAGCGTTGAGTGGCTGGCTATATCTCTTTAGGTGTCTCTGTTCTCTGCTTGCCTTTCAGGTGCTTTGAACTCAAATAAGCAAGAGGGGCGATTGAGCCTAATACCAAGGACAGCGCCACAATGGGACCACGAAAGAAAAGTATTAAAATGTGTCTCACGAATAGTGAAACCCCAGAGGAAGCAATATCAGATGAAACAAAAGACTATATGAATCAACTTTCACATGAAGTACTTTGCCATATTTTTAGGTGAGATTTTGTTTGATTGACTTTCATGTACTGGAGATGTAAAAGTAAGAGAGACCCTGGTGCTGTGCTGCTTACTGTGGTAGCACTGGCTACATGGACATTTAAATTTAAATGAATTGAAATGAAGTTTCAGCTCTTCAGTTGTATGATCTCTTGCATGTTGGTAGTCATGTGTGGCTAGTGGCTACTGTAGCAGATAGCTCACGGCCACTAGCCAGATACCACAAAAGGAAGTGATTTCTTTTTGTCACAGAAAGTTTTGTTGGCCCTTCTCCAGATTACCATTTCCAGACTTCTTGGGATTATTGACAGACTGACTTGTGGATTTTTGTTATTACAATATAGAAGTTCCATGTGTATACAACAAAAGACAGTGTTTCTGACTTTGTTTTGACTATAACCTATATAAATTTTCCTCAGTGTGCCTGTACATGTTAGTAATATAAAAACTTCACAAAACCCCATCATATTGTATATACTATGCACATTAAATTCATTTTGTGATTAATATTGTATAACAAAGGTTTTTTATTATTTTTACATATGTGTATGTGTTTGAGATTGCATGGATGGGTTCATGTGTGAAGCATGCATGTAGGTGCCTGCGGAGACCAGAGGGCATGGGATTCCCTGGAACTGGAGTTATAAGCAGCTGGGTGTTACCTGATGTGAGTACCAGGAACCGAGCCCAGGTCCTCTGGAAGAGCAGTGAGGGCTCCTAACCACTGACCGATCTCTCTAGTCCCCAGAGCCTTTATAAAAAAATGAAACTTTAAAAATTATGTTTTCACTCAAGCTGTATTATAACAATGATTAAATAAACCCAAAATTAAATCAACTCATCCCAGTTCCATTGTTCTTTTCTTTTCGTCTTGGCGCTTGTACTGTTCAAACAAACAAATGCTAAGTACTTCTTTGGGTTTAGGGAACCAAGTTAGCACCTTTGGTCCACCATTTTCTAGCTGTGGCCCAGTGATTGGTACAGAAGTGTTTAATAAGGACTCACTGCTTCTTTCAAAGCAGTCATCGCAGTATGGCACAAATGTGTGCTTCAATGGTTGTGTGCTCTGCTCTTCCTGTTTCACGTTGCAGCGTGGTTTTCATAGTTGTGGTGACAGCCTTCTGTTCTGTGTGGGACATGTGACATGATGCTTAGAATTTCCCGTCTAACTTCAGGGTTTCCGGTTTTTGTCTTTTCTGTATTTATAGTTGTAATTCAGTTTTCTAAGCATTTTGATTTTCCATTGTACTAGATTATGTAGAAAAACTTTCCACATGTGAAGTTTTTAGAAATGTATTGAATTCTATGGTATTGAATATTTTTGAGATTATGAAGTTTTTAAGTGGTCATGTTATTTTATTTTACTTTATTTTTTTGGTCTTTTTGAGACAGGGTCTCTCTGTAGCCCCAGCTGTCCTGGAACTCACTGTGTAGACCAGGCTGGCCTTGAACTCACAGAGATCCACTTGCCTCTGCCTCCCGAGTGCTAGGATTAAAGGTGTGTGCCACCATACCCGGCGTGGTCATGTTATTTTAAGGAGTCATGAGCAGTTCATTTTTATTTTCTAATACAATTTTGCATTTTTTATTTTTTGGAGTTAATTCTTTTGTGATGTAGTATATAGTTTTTGGTAATTCGTTTCTATCTGCGAATAAAATGTTTAATTAAAATAGTAGATTTTTTTTTCTTACTATAACAAAATGATACTGAAATTCATGTGCTACAAAACAGTATGTGAAAACTGCCAAAGCTTTCAGAAAAGGAAATTAGCTCTACCTGATGCTCAAATACATTTTAATAATAATTAGATTGTGAGCTGGAGAAAATAGCAAGTCAAAACATGTAATCATGGGCTACATATGTAGATTCAAATTCATGTAGCGCTCTAATTTATGATAAAGTTAGTTTCATATTGTGGAAAAGATGTGTAGGTAATATTCACTGAAGATGTTACAACCTACGAACAGTTTGGAGGAAAAACTAAAAGCATGTCTGTATCTCTCCTATTTTAGGACTTAATCATAAATGTATAAAGAATTAAACCGTAAACCTGTTAAAATTCTCAAAGAAAGATAGATAAAATTGTTCCTAGGAACAAATGTTAGATGTTGGTTGCATGGTCATTATATATTATATACATATATTGATTGATCATACTGTCCCCATAAAGATTCATAAAAATTATGTCTCAAAAATAAGTTTTAGGCTGGGGGTGGTGCTGCACACCTTTAATCCCAGCACTCAGGAGGGAGAGGTAGGTGGATCTCTCTGAGATTGAGGATAGCCTGGTCTACATAGGAAGTCCAGGACAACTAGGGCTACAAGGAGACTTTGTCTCAAAAAATAACAAAAACAGTTTTAAAATACTTGGGTGTATAATCAGCAAATTGGATCATATTTTAAATTGAAAGTACATAACACTTTGTAGTTTAGCAGAATCAAGTAAAGGGATCTTTCCCTTTTCGTAGTAAGGAAAACTTGTAGCAGTTGACAGAATGTAAGAACTGTTAATTGATAATGAGTTCATGAACTTGTTATAAAATATTCTCAAAGCAGATTGAGTCTTATTTTTAGCCTTCTAAAATTTTTATCTGAGGACTCCCTTTATAAGTTGTAACATATTATTGAGATAAGAAAAATGTTAGCTTTCCTTGAAAGTAATCAAATATTTTTTCTAAAATACATGTGTGCTTCTGAAAGATTTTTAAAAATGTATTTAATTATTTTCTGGGTATGAGTGTTTTGTCTTCATGTATGTAAATGCACCACATATGTGCAGTGCTTTTGGGAAGCCAGAAAAGGACATCTGATCCCTTGGAACTGGAGTTTTGAACAGTTGTTGGCACCATGTGGGTGTTGGGATTTGAACCTGGGTCCTCTGCATGGGCCACCAGTGGTCTTAACTGCTGAGCTATCTCACCAGACCCTCTATGTGCTTTTTTAAAAGTTATTTTTTATTTAAAAAGATTTAAAAATAAACTTAGACAAATATTTTGGATAATAGTCATTTCAGAAAAAAAAATACCTGTGTGATAAAACTTTAGAAAACAAATTCAGTGTTTTCTATTGCTTATAAAATGTATAGTAATGTATTTTCTGAAAAATTGTTTTATTTAAATTATAGAACTGTTTATGGCCAGCAGTAATGTGCTTTTTTTTTTTTTTTGTAGAAATTTGACTTGATTCTCTTTATTTAAATAGCTTTGAAGAAGAGGGATCAATGGTAGGGAAAAATGAAACAAATATTCAACATAAATAGGTGGACTTTTAGAATTGGCATAATTTTTAAGAATTGGAGTCTGCTGACATTGCTGCTCTTAACACTAACCATCTGTGAAACTTTTGTAAGCTTAAGGTTTCTGAGGCAGTTCCATTGCTTTAAATGTAGCGTTCTGGGAGTATCTCCTGACAAGTAAGGATTCTAGCAGAAAGTGGAAGATACACTATCTGGAATTTGAAGAAACTTTTTATGTAGTTGAGGTAGGGTTGAAGCAACCAGTGAATTATGTTGCAGATGCATCTGGGAGACTGGGGCCTGCAGAAAGCAGTCTTCTAGCTGGTGCCTCCTGGCTAAAGTAGCTGTTAGACAGATGGCCAAGGACCAAAGGATGGCAGAGTGGGAAAAGGAGAGAAGTGGCCTTGTCTCAAGGGCTATGTGACAAAAAGAATAGCCAGCGTCTTACTTACCTTGCAACATGACTGTGACCAGTGAGTACCATGTTTGTTACATAAAACCCACTCCATAAAAAAGTAGCTTTTATTTTAAAGAAAAGAAAGAAAAGACATAATCTAGGTGTGTGTGGAAAGATACTAAGAAACATCGTTTTCTAGCCTTTGAAAATGTATCTTGGTGTTAGAAACAGGATAGAAATGGAGGTCAGCTGTAAGTTTCAGGAAGATTGGAAAAAGGAAGAGAAAAACTTAGGACGATTTTAATAATATATATGACAATAAAGGTAAAATAATGTAGGAAAACAAAACTATGCAATAAAATTAGTCTACATATATTTGTATAGATAAAATAAGGAATTTCAGAAACCAGTGATAATTGAGCGGGAACTCTAGGAAACAGATGTTGTGAAAGATACAAAATAACCCTGACCATATTTAAGTTGATGGGTTGTTTCTGATCTTACCTCCCCTTATCAGTGAATCTTTAAATGCATTGAATTGTGGTGTTTTGTTGTGTGTTTGTTTTCCTTCCTTGGTTTGATTTTACCTTTTGGGGTGTTTATTTTTAAATGTTCTTTGTCCTTGAAAACCTACAGAGAGAATTAGAGGTTTTTATCAAATATGCTGGCTTACCTTTATTTACTAAAACACTGTTTGGCTTTATGCATGCTCACCTTAAAGTGCTATGCATTCCCTCAGATCTCACTTTATTGAAGGGTAGGAGAAGGGTGATGGGGGTGTGGGTAAATTCTTGGGAAGGGAAGTCCTTACCTACTTGATAAATTCGAGTTTCTTTCTATTACAAAGGTACCTCCCCCTGCAGGATATCATGTGCATGGAATGTCTTTCTCGGAAGTTGAAGGAAGCAGTCACCTTGTATCTGAGGGTCGTCAGAGTTGTGGATCTCTGTGCAGGAAGGTGGTGGGAATATATGCCAGGTGGTAAGTAGACAGAGTGTGTGAGGTACACTTAAGCCCTGCTGTAGAGTGATAATAGTGGTTCCATAGAATGTGGTTTCTTGTTTCAAAGGCATTCCATTTATGAAAGCAAAGGAGTACTATTGGGAGGGGAGAGAGGAAGTAGGTCTAGTAAGGGGAGCAAGAGAAGACGATAAGAGGACTAGAAGCAAACTACAGTGATGTATGTGTATGAGTATGTCATAAAGAAGCCCATTATGTTGTATTTTTACTAAGATGGAATAAACTGCTTTGCATTTAATGGCAATCCATTAATTAGTGTGTTTTACTGTTGGTTATTATTTAGACTCTTTAAATAATCATACTTTAAAAAAAAATCCAGACCACAAGACTTTGAACATGGGTTGAGGCAAACAAAAACAAAAGAATCTCTTAATAGACGTGGAAGGCTGCAAGGGTGCTAGCTTGTTCTGTTCTCTAGGATAGACAGAACAGACTACTAGGGTTCGCTAGTGTTGTGCAGCTTGTGGTGCTTTGTTTGTTCGAAAGTTACCTGATATCACTTTCCATCTAGTCCCAGCAGTTAACACTATATGCCTTTCTGGTTTGAAAAGAACATTGCAAATACTAGACTGGAACTTTGCTTGGAGGAAACAAAACACAGTCTTCTTTAGTTACTTAGAAAACTATGATAAGGAAAAGTATTGATTTAATTCCAGAGTTGATGGTTTAAGGTAAAGAAAATAATCAGGGCAGTGTGAGAGATTGTCTTCTTATATTAGATTGGTTTTACCAGAGTTTGGGCAGGCAGGATTCTGGAGGATAGTAGAGCTCCTCTGTGATGATGCAAGCTTGCATTAACATCCTGCAGCTTATCAAATTAGTGAAGAAGTTGTGGACACATGGCTACTTTTCAGACTGCAGTAAATGTACATGGGCCCACAACATTTTATCTCTGCAGTGAACATAAAAGGGAATGGAAGCACACAGTCTATAACTAGGGTGAGACCACACTAACTGACCTCCGTCATGCCTTTTCTCTGGTGCTTAAACCCTGAATCTTGATATAAATGCTTAAAGGTTTATAAGAGTGACCTCTTTGGAGTCACCACAGTTAACTTTTCCCAGTTATGATGGTTATGATATGAGAAAAGAGACTAGATCTATTGGTAGTGGTCACATTGTGTTTTAAATTCCAACAGTGCTAGTTTCTTTTTCTTCTTTTTTTTTTTTTTTTTGTTGTTTTTTAACATTGTAACTAAGGTTGAGGATATTATGTTAAGTGAGAAAACTTGTAAAGTGATTAACACTGAACTGTCCAATCAGTAAACATCACAAGGAAATAATAGACCTATTGTAATTACAGAGCAAGTAACTGCTGAGGTCCCTCTTCCTAGTCACTTTGCTTCTGTTTAGTCACTTTTTTTTTTTTTTTTTTTTTTTTTTTTTTTTTTTTTTTTTTTTTTAAATTTTTCTTGTTGTTTGTTTTTGAGACACAGCCTCCTGTCAGCCAGGCTGGCTTTAGACTTGCTCTGAAGCTGAGCTGAGGCTGACATGGAACTGTTGAACCTCCTGCCTGTACCTCTTAAGTGCTGGAATCACAGGCTGTACCACATCTTGCCTGACTATTCCCTTTTATGATTCTCTGGTTAGCAAATCTAGATTTTCCCTGTACAAATAAACCGAAGAATGTTCACCAGAACACTTTAGATTTAGTTATTAGGAGCTTCATTTTATTCCTGCGTGTTGGTATTTTGTTATCAGTGAGCAGACAGTTGGCTTTCCAGCACCTTCTAAGACCCTGGTAATAGAAAAAAATATCATGCCTGTGACTTCACCATCCTTCTAGCTCCTGCTGTGGAAGTTTGCTTATCCCTGTATCACTGTTCACATCTTGTTAATTACTGCTGCCGGGCACACCTGGCCTCCCAGATACACAGCTTCTTTTCAACTTCTCTGCTCAACTTGGATCACTCTTGTTTTCTTAGCCAACTTTCTTCCATCATTCAAAACAGAGGGGATCTAAATAAAATCAAAATATATTTTATGCAATTTCCAAAAATTTAATAAAGAAGTTGGGAGGCGTGAACTGTCTCAAATGGTAGCGAGTAATAATAGTTTAAGACCTAAGAGAGCAATTGTTTGGACATGGTTAGAATTAGACATTGAAATGTGGAACTTCCTGAAGGTGAGGATCGTATCTTATTTTTAATTGTAGTGTTCTGCAGAACCCTGAAGATTTTCTAGGACAGGCACCTTTGGAAGAGGGTGGGTAGGTAGCAATCTGGTGGGTAGTCCCTACTGTCCACCAATCAATAATAAGTCCATATGATCAAGGTATTGTTAGTTGAAGATTTAAATGCCTTAAAAGCAGATAAAACAAAAAATACATACTAAATGAAAAGATAGCTCTAAAGTCTTAACCTAGAACAGGTGGAGTGTGAAAAACTCCATGTGATTAAACTAGCATGTCTTCCTTGGTAACAGTTTATTTACCTCTAGTATTAGAACCTCTTTTTTGAGACAGAGTCTCCCTATAGCCCCAGCTGGCCTGGAACTCAGCAGACCAGCCTGGCCTCGATCTCACAGAGATCCACCTGCTTGTGCCTCCTGAGTGCTGGGATTAAAGGCATGCACCACCATGCTCTACCATGGTGAACCTGCTCTGAATGTGTTTGAACTTCTCAGGTTTCACAGATTCCAGTTTTCTAACACTTTTGAAGAAGATGCCAGACGTTGAACAGCTATATGGCCTTCACCCTAGATACCTTGAGAGGCGAAGAGTAAGGGGCCATGAGGCTTTTAGCATTCCTGGAGTCCTAGAAGCTTTACAAGCATGCCCAAACTTGGTGGTGAGTGCACGTGTTTGAACATCTTAACATCACTGGTTGGTGAAATAATGAATCAGAAGAACTATAGAGCTTGTTCACTCACACGCAAACTGTATGCATTAAACACATTTTTCTTACGTTCCATTGCATACTTAGCATCTTGTACAGAAAGAGAAGCTTTGGGTCCTAAATTAAAAGCCTTCCTTATGCTTGCTGTGTGTTGCTATTTTCTAGGGTGTAGAAACATCTCATTTGGAGTTGGTAGAATCCATTTGGACATATATGCCACATGTTCATATTTTGGGGAAATTTCGTAATCGTAATGGGGCATTTCCAATTCCTCCTGAAAATAAACTCAAAATTCCTATAGGAGCCAAAATTCAAACTTTGCATTTAGTTGGTGAGTACTTGTTTTCTGGATTATTTGTAATGCCTTGAAACACTATATGAGTTTATATTCATTAAATCAAATAATGAAAATTTTGGAGAAATGCTTGTGAGACTGATATAAAAACTCAGATTTTGTATTTATTACAGATCTCTCACAGGACAGTGTTGCTTTTCAGGCAGTCTGTTGTCATCTTGAACAGTTTGAATAGTTCTGAAGGTTTTTATCTTTTTGTGTTTTTCACTGAATCCTGCCCTTACTCTAGTTCCAATTTGGTTTTTTTTGAGATGGTGGAAATGGGCTATGTATTTTTTAATATAGCTTTTATTTTATTATTATCGTATCTCTGGTTATGTGTATGTTGTATGAGCACTGAGTGCTGCATTGCACATGTGGAGGTTAGAGAATAAGTATATTGACTCCATTCTCTCCTTCTATCTTTAAGTAGGTCCGATGGCCTGTGTGGCCACTGCCTTTACTGCATGGCAAGTGCCTTACCTTCTTTTTTGAGACATGGTCTCCCTGTAGCTCCAGCTGGACTGGACCTCACTATGTAGACCAGGCTGGCCTTGAACTCACAGAGATCCATCTGCCTCTGCCTCCTGAGTGCTGGGACTAAAGGTGTGCACCACCACGCTGTCAGCTGACCATGTTCTTCAATTCAGTTTTTCAATTCAATTGGCGCATCTTGTCTCTTAACTTTTTTCCCTAAAAAATGGAGATGGAATGGCCTTGTTCTAAACACCTTTATCTGCATTGGTTATATTATGCATTTTCTATGTGCATATTCTTTGAAATTGTGTTACTTTAATTTCAACTTAAGAAAATAAGGGCAAATATTTTATCAAATTTAACTTTTCATCTTTGATTTAATCTGCTAAGGGAATTTTGATGAATCCATAGAAATATAGTCTGACATTTTAAAAATTAATTATTTATTAAAAACAGGGTCTCAGGTAGCTTGGCCTGGCCTCAAACTCATATAGCTGAGGATGACCTTGAACTGATCCTCGTTGTCTCTACCTCCCAAGTGCTTGGATTAGAGGCATCCTCTACCATACCAAGTTGATGTTGTAGTAGAGATTGAACCCAGGTCTTTGTGCATGTTAGATAAGCAGTTTTATCAACTGAGTTATATCTTTAGCCCAAGTATTTTTAATTTTATATCTTATTAATATTTTCAATTTATATTTCATTTTAAAATTTTGTGTTTGATTATTTCATTAATGTTCATATTTAATATATGCAATGTTCCAAATGTTACTTCAGATACTGGGAATGATCTAAAGAATTAAAAATTTCTGAAATGCTGTCAGATAGTGAAGGGAGGAAGGAGTGACAAGAACTCTGTGTCTGTAAACTATAGAGCTTGACTCTTTGTTTCTAAGATTGTGGAAATAATTCTGATCAGGAATTCAAATATCTGGATTTTAGGTAATAAAGGATTCTATTTCTATAATATCTGGTTTATAATGTAACCTCTTTAAGGTTAAAAGTTTTTATGACTGCACATTTTCCACAGTGCCTACATTGGTTAATTTCAAATATAAGAACTTAATAAATTTTACTGAAATGTATTAATTCATGTTGATTGATTCAGTAGTTTTATCCCAACTATATGATTGTAATGTAAAGAAATAAACATTAATAATAATGAATGGGGTAGGTCATTTTGTCATTTGTTTATATGGTAAGTTTGGCAGAAAAAAGGACCAAGCTACTATCTTTGGGTCTTTCTTACTTTGCTCCCTTGAGTTTCTTAATTCAGCCAGCAGCGCCACTTAATGGTAGATGATAAACTCAGTTTGTGAGTTTTGTATTTTGCATCTCAGTCTGTACCTCTCTTAGTCTATTTTCTTCCTTTGGTCTTCTTCCCAATTTTATTTCCCATCTATTTCCATAGAGTATGTTTACGTAGCTCAAACTGAAGTTAGCTGTGACTTGTAGAGGCCAGATTGAGGCGGTAATCCCTATAAGTAGAGTAGGTTCATCTTCAGAGCCTTAACTATTAAAGAACCACCCATTTTTTAAAAATTTTGTATTTTTAAGTAGTGTATTGAGAATTTCAGACATGCATATAAGGTGTTTTGATAAAATCCAGGCCCACTCCCTCCCCCTCCAACTCCTCCCATATCTCCCCATCACTTTTTTCTGATAACTTCATGTTCTGTTCCTTCTTTTTTATTTATTTTAAAATATTTTATTTATTATTTTTATGTGTATGTGTGTATTGCCTGCGTGTAGGTAAGTGCACCCGTGTCATGCAGTGCCTGTGGAGGACAGAGAGACTGTTGGATCCCCTGGAACTGGAGTTATGGATGGTTGTTAGCTGCCATGTAGGTGCTAGGATTTGAATCCAGGTCTTCCGTAAGAATAATCAGTGTTCTTAACCACTGAGCCATCTTTCCAGCCCCCTATGTATTTTTTTAATGGGGCTTTTTGCTACTCTAACATTCCCCCCTCTGAAGAAGTAATCCTAAAATCTTTTAAGGATTAGGTAAGAGTTCCCAAATACTGTTGACATTTTTGGCCTAGGAACGGAATATGTTGCTGAGAGGCCCAAGAACATTTTGACTTTCAGCCAAGAAATTGACTACTTTTCTTTGGGGTCTTTTTACCCTAACTGCCTAGCCAATTCCTACCTCCTATTCTTATCACACCATCCTCTGAAGAGATTACCTAACTTGCAGATAGGGAATCGAGTCTCAGATGGTTCTGGCTTCTTCCTTGCTGAACAGGGATGCAGGGTGAGGTAATTGGGGTACCTCTTCAGTGGGTCTATCTAAAAGATACCCAAATTGTATAACCCTTATTTGTAGGGAGAAAAGAAAGTCCTTGACTGGTGAATAGGGGATGTGAAGGAGAAGGAAAGGGAAGAGAAATTAGCATTACAGGTTCTAGACAGGGAACCAGAAAAAAGTCAGAACAGGGCAAATTTCAAATGTTAATATCAGAGTCAGAACCAATCTCCAGGTGTTTTACTGATTTATTTATTTATTTATTTATTTATTTATTTATTTATTTAGTGACCATTGTAAATGGGATTTTTTTTTTTCTTTTTAAAATATTTTATTTACTATTTTTATTTTATGTGTATGCACGTATTGCCTGCATGTAGGTAAGTGCACCTGTGTCATGCAATGCCCACGGAGGTCAGAAGAGGCTGTCGGATCCCCTGGGACTGGAGTGTTACGGACAGTTGTTAGCTGCCATGTGGGTGCAGGGACTTGGCCCCGGGTCTTCTGCAGGAACAGTGTTCTTAACCACTGAGCCATTTCTCCAGCCCCAAGAACCAACCATTTTTAAGTACTATAATTGCTATCCCTAGTTATTCTTGTTAGTCTCAAGAATAAATGTTGCATTACATTAATTTTTTCTGATACTGTATATTAAAATACCATCACCTAGGACCACTGGGTTATTCTCATAGGCTTATATCTCTTGGCTTTTTTTCCTAACCTGTAGTGCTTTGACTCAGGCAAGTTCCTCAAGTTCTTCTATATCTACTGACATTTCCTCCCATTGTTCACCCCTTCCCCCTTTCTAGATAGAGTCTTCTGTGGTTATGATTCATCAGAGGCATACAGTATTCTTACTAATTTGAGGTACTAAAATAAAGAGCTGTTGGATTTTATTCTCAGAGCCATGCTGGCTGGCTTCTATGTATTTACAGATGCTCACATTTATGTAATTGTGAAAATGGCTTTTTAAGCTCTGTGTTGTCTGCTATAAACTAATGCTGAAGGCTAGCCAACATGGTTTTGTGTATTTCATCTCTAGCCTCACAATTTTGCTTTTAGAAACCTATTTTCACTTTGCATCTTTAGGACAAGTAAATCGCAGAAGAGTTGTTATGGCTTTGAGACATGTTTTAAATGTAAAATTGGGTTTTAAATTGCACCCTAGTTTTATGGTTTGCATAAATGTTCTTTACTAGCTTGTTTTAAATGAACCAAATTTGACAGATTTTAATTTTGTAATTGGTTTTGAGATAAATCTCCTCAAAGGATAAATTGTTAATTTGAAAACTGGACTACTGAACATACTGTGTACAGAGTACAAAGTTATTTTTGTCATTTTCTTGTCTGTTCTTTTTGTGTGTGTATGTGCTTTAGGGGTGAATGTTCCTGAAGTTCCTTGTATCCCAATGCTAAGGCACCTTTATATGAAGTGGGTCAGACTCACTAAACCACAGCCGTTTAAAGACTTTCTTTGCATCAGCTTAAGAACTTTTGTCATGAGGAACTGTGCAGGTAATGGTACATGGTTATGATGGAATTAAACATAATGCTAAAAGAAATCCTGACAAACTCCACGTCTACATTTGTAGTGAAAATTATGCTATTTACTAATTATATTTTGTACTTACCTTGTGCATATAAGCATATCTTGTGTTTGATAGACAGTAGAAACATAATCAAGCTTAGGAAAAAAAACAGACTATCTGTGCATTCCATACAAGCACATTTTGTACTCTACAGGATTGTTATAATATATATCAGTCTTTCTTTTTAGGCTTTGATCCAAACATTAGGAATATTTACTCTACCTCAAACCTTTTTATAATGTTACTCAGCAGAACAAAGCCTTTTACTATCCCTGTCTATTGTCCTGCACTGTCAAGTGGTCGCTACATGGCTTCAAAGTTCTTAATAACCAGGGCCCCTCTTGATATCTTTATTTCTGGCTGCTTTCCAAGATAGGACTTCTTTCCTGGTCACATTTGTCTGTTCACTGCTCTGCATAAGTGCACTGCTTCCGAGTGTGCTGTTACACCATAAGATTGTTTTCTTAGCCTTCCTCTAAGCCTATGTACATCCATCAGAGTCTGCTTTTACTAATATGTGTCTTTCTCTTTTTTCCTTTTGATGGAGTGTAGGTAGTAGATACTACTTTGGTACATGATACATTCTGCCTTTTTATCCTTTTGGAATTATGTTCTGTCTCTGATAGACAAGGCCATGTCTTTTTTGATCTTTTCTGGTATCTGATACATTAATGTTCACATAAAATGTTTAAAGGTAGAGGAGTTTACTTGAGTAAATGTTCAGATTTTCATCTTGAGTTTTCTCCCTTAGCTATTCTGAAATAAAAATTATTGTGACTTAACTGTATTTGCAATAAATATTGCATATCTCGGCATTGTTTTTAAAAAATTCTTGTGTTGAATAAGTGTAAGTTTAACAAGCTAACACTTTAATTTGTAATAAGACATATAGATCATAGAGAACCAACAATAATTTGACTATCATTTTTTAAGATACAGAGTTTATTTTAGTTATTTTGAAAAGTTATCTTTAAAGCAGTTTACACTATTACAATGAATTTTTATTGTTGATTATTTTTTCCAGGACCTACAAATTCCTTGAAATATGTGCCCTTAGTAACAGGCTTGGCGTCTGCACGAAATTTGGAACACTTAGAAATGGTTCGGGTCCCATTCCTTGGGGGTCTTATCCAGCATGTAGTTGAAGACAGCTGGAGATCAGGTATTCATTTCCTTTGGTTACAAAGTATTTTTTTTTAAATGAACGTTACATTTTTATTTACAAGTCTTTAAAATAAAAAAATATTTAAATCAGCAATTTTGCTTTCTTTCTGGTGTGTTAGATTGAATGTAAATGTCCACGAGCATAAATACTCATTTCCTTTTTATGCATTTAAACCTTCTCACAAGAAGCAGTGGAGTGATCAGGCAGGTTTTCTGATTTGCTATTACGTACTGCTTTGTAAATAAGTAATACCCCTGCTTTATTTGGGATCTTTCTTAAAACTGTTACCAGAGAGTTCCATTGACCTCTGAAGAGATTTTATGACTTAGATGTCCTGGGCCTCGGAATCCCCTCTTGCCTGGTACTTGGGTATTAGAGTCATCTAACAGACTATGGCTCTTAAAAGAAAAACATAGTCTTGCATCCCTGAGCTACAGCTGAGAAATGTTATGTAACAGGGTGTGCCTTATGCCAGTCATCGTTGCAAAAAAAAAAAAAAAAAAAAACCAGATTAATTAAGAAATTAAATATTAAAAAAAAAAAAAAGTTTTTCCACCCCGGGCTACAGCGGAGAAATTTTATGTAACAGGGGTTGCCTTTTGCCCGGCCTCGTTTAAAAAAAAAAAAAAGTTTTTCCACCCCGGGCTACAGCGGAGAAATTTTATGTAACAGGGGTTGCCTTTTGCCCGGCCTCGTTTAAAAAAAAAAAAAAGTTTTTCCACCCCGGGCTACAGCGGAGAAATTTTATGTAACAGGGGTTGCCTTTTGCCCGGCCTCGTTTAAAAAAAAAAAAAAGTTTTTCCACCCCGGGCTACAGCGGAGAAATTTTATGTAACAGGGGTTGCCTTTTGCCAGTCATCGTTGAAAAAAAAAAAAAAAAAAAAAACCAGATTGACTTAGATAATTAATAGTTAGAAACTAAAAATCTAATAAAATGGAAAAGGAAGTAAAATGAATAAATAATGAAATAAAATGGACAATCCTCCAATACCATTGGTAATAGGTAAATGTGGTTAATATTGCTAAAATAGGTGTAAAGCACATTATAGGAAAATGGGAATGGACTAATACAAAGACCTTCACATAAGAGCTGATCCATATGGCCAATGACATTCACTAGACATTAGGGAGGTACAATTTAAAGCCAGAGTGTCACATGAACACTACCGTGACTACATGTATACATGATGTGTATGAAAAAGACAGCAGTGTTGGCCAGGTTGTGCATCAGCACAAGATGTTTGTAGAAGCATTGTTCCTAATGGACCCCAAATGGAGACAACCCAAATGCTGATCACTCAGCAAATAGGTCATTAGAATGTGGCATATTCATGTAGCAGACCTAGACTACTGTACCCCAAAGCAGTTTAGCAAACTTACAACCACTAGCTGTTTGGATAAATCACATAGCAGTGGTTAGTCAAAGAAGCCAGATACAAAAGAGTACCTGCTTTGTGAATTTTTTTTTTTTTAATATATAAAAGTTCAACATCTTCAAGCAAAATTCATTGAACTGTACATTTTTGGTATGTAGCTGTAAATTTATTTAAAAAAAACAAAACAAAACAAATAGGGGCTAGAGAAAAATAGGCATGTGGACCCAAATTTGGATCCCTAGGCACCCATATAAAAGTCTCACAGGAAGTATGCATCTGTAACCCCAGTGCTGGGACGCAGAAACAGATGGATGTTAGGTTTGCTGGCCAGCCAGTCTAGCTAAAACAGTAAACTCCAGGTTCAGTGAGACTGTTACAAAACAATAAGGTGCAGGATAGAGGGAGGTGTTCTGTGTTGACCTCTTGCTACCATACAGGCATGTGTACCATCCCCCCCCCCCCGACACACACAATAAAAATTAAAACTACAGAAATAGAAAAGACAAAAATGAAAAATAGTTGATGTGCTGGTCTCATTCTGTGATACACTGGAGGTTTAAGATTTGACCAGTAAGGGTCAGAGTCCCTTGTCTCTACTTTCTCATGAGTTTCTAGCTTTCTGCACTAAATGTCTAAATCTTGAGATTTTCAAATGCTCCAAGTATGTTATCAGAAGGAGTATTTTTTCATTTGTTTTTAGGAGATTACTAGTCTAGTAATAATTCATCTTGATGTTGATTTGACTGCAAGAGCATAACAAATTTACTTTTAAACAAGTAATTGTTTTCTAAGGTGTGGATAAATGCTTTACCAAGTTCTGGAGGTCAAACAATGCTTGTCTTTATTCTTTTTTCCTCTAACCAGGTGGCTTTAGGAATTTGCACACTATTGTTTTAGGAGCTTGCAAAAATGCCCTTGAAGTAGATCTTGGTTACCTCATCATCACTGCTGCACGTAGGTAGGTTCTTTCTTCACTCTGTGCCTTTGTCCTAGGGTTAGGATTTTTAGAAACATTGGGGGAATGTCTCTTTGTGTATGAAATTTGAGCATGCCTTATTTGTATTTAAGAGACAAAGGAACTATTTAAGTAGAAAGCAGATTGCATCATTTATTGGTAGTTTAAATTTTAGCACTAGTGACCATTTGATAGACCAGCCATCCCTAGAAGGGTATACTGCCTCAGAACAGAGAAGCAGTTGATCTAGGAGTACCTGAGTGTGACACCATAGCATTGGGGACACCGGTGTCTCACGTCCTCTCAGGAATCATCATTTCAATCTGTAGATGGCTTTCTGACTTGTTGATGATAATGTTTGCTGTTCTGAAGCCGGTGCTTTGAATTGGCTTTTCATTGTTGGACTTCTTCCATCTTCTGTTTGACTTCTCTTCATATCACTTGATGCTACATTTGCTGTTTACCACCTTTCAAAAAATCCGTTTATTAAAAATCCCAAATTTGGGTTTCATAGAACATTGATTACATATGAGTAAAATGAAACAAAACAATGCTGGTATTTTTACCTACCATAGAAGTATATTCTTCATTAAAATGAGGCACATGCAGCTAGCAGAAGAAAGATGTTAATGAGATGCTAGCATCAGGTACATGCTTCTGTTACTGTTCTTATTATTGTGTGTGTGTGTGCGCGTGTGCATGCATGCCATAACACGTATGTTGACGTCAGAGGACAAGTTTTGGGAATCACCTTTCGTGAACCCAACTCAGGATGTCAGGCTTACACAGCAAGCACTTAACACATGGAGCCACCCACCAGTCCTACACTCTTGCCTTGATCATACTTAAAAAGTTCTTACTATAGAATTCATTCATTACTACTTGCTTAGGTACAGTGTACTACTTGATAAGAGGCTGTACTTTATAGGACACAAATCCAAGTCTTTTTTCTTTTTTTTTTTTTTTTTAATCAGTAACATAATAATTCTGCTAAAGGCAGAGAATTCCCTGGTTTGGTTTCCCATTCCATCATCAGAGTTGGTTATCAGAATACTTAAAGAATTTTTTTTTTTTTTTTTTTTTTTAATATAAGGAGTTAAATTTATTGATACCTGAGACACTTTGGTAAAATTATAAGGAGGAATCTGATTTTGATGATTTTCTTTAACATTTTGCTTTATTTGTAGGTTGCATGAAGTTCGCATCCAGCCTTCTCTAACCAAAGATGGTGTCTTTTCTGCCCTAAAGATGGCAGAATTGGAGTTTCCCCAGTTTGAAACACTTCATCTGGGATATGTAGATGAGTTTTTACTGCAAAGTAAGCTTTTTGTTTTATTCCCTGGAATTACTGGAGGAAACTCACTTGACAAACTAAAATCCGAATATTATCTACCATCATTTTCGTGACTATAAGACAACATAAAGTCCTAATTGCTTGCATTCTTGGAGAAGACTTTTTTTTCAGTCAGAAACATGACTTTTTTTTCCCCCATCACCTCTGGTATTATTGTGTTATTGAGAATGTAGTGATTAGCAGTAAATCAACAGTATATCTGTATTTAGGTTTGCAGTTGTCTCCACTTTACTGTCCACATTTCTTTCGCGTTCTGCTTCATTGTTTTGTTTTCACAGAATGTCACCCCTAGTGTCATTTGTTGAATTTGATCTGCCATGCTTCTTGAAGCCTTTGATAGTCCCCGCATATGAAGTCCCATTCCTTGCCTGTTAAGCCTCCAGTAATGGGAGCACACAGTGGTCAGTATCCATTTCATGATAATTGCTGCTGCCTTGATAACAGCATTTTTAGTATGCCCTTATAACTAGGAACTCATTCCTTGGGGCTGGAATTAAAGTCACTCAGATTCATTATTCCAACTGTTCCCAAATGGCATTAATAAGATGTGTAAGAAAATCCCCACCACTGTGTTTTCATTCATTCAAGAGTCAGTTTGTTCCTCAGGTAATTTATAACAATTCTTGAACTTCCACTATCGCATCAGGTGGTATTTTGTTTCTTTTGGGTCAAATTTGCATTATAGAACATAGGTATAAATACTACTGTTCAGGACAGTCCAGGTCAAAAAATAAGACTACTTTCTCTTTGATTTTATTATATGTCATGATAGTAGTTACTGTATGCTTTTATTTCTTTACCTTCTTTATTGTTGTACTTCGCCTTAGTAGGCAGGTAGGTTATTTTAAATAACCATACCATCCTTTTCTAGACAACTTAATATTGCAATTACTTTGAATCTGTGTACCTTGGAAACTTATCAGGTTCTACAAAACGGCATTAAATGCTAAGGTAGTAAAGTAGTTTTTAAAAAAGAAATAGCCTATTGATCTCAGGCGTCTCTGGTTTTGAAGGAAGCTGCTAGCATTCCCTGTTTCTGTAGTATCTATGTATGAAGCTGGGAATATGTTCTTTCTATACCTTCATTTTCTGTTTCCTGAAAGCTCATAATGTAACAAATTTCCTATCTTCAGTGTGACCACCTTTAGATCTACCAAAGAGTTGTCTTTGAGTTGAGTTAAAAGTTCATTTGCCAGAGATATAGGTAGATGTTTGCTGTGTTTATAACCAGTTACATCCCTGTGGTGTTTCCTGTCATCACACATTTTCAATGGGATAAAAACACCTCACTTTCTCGACTGCCGTTGTCATGCGTTTCAGTACAATCCCTTTCATTTTCTTTTGTATTTAGTGGTCTCTTTGGGTTGGCCTTTTTATAAGCCATTCTGAGACTATTGGACCCTTCCATATGTCAGTTCTGCTTCTCCAGAGATTGTCAGGGATTCTGTTTCAGGACAAGTGCTAGGTTCCTTTTGAGAAACTGCCTTAAGAAGAGTAAGAAGGCTAGGGAGATTCAGTGGGTAAAGCACTTGCCAGGCAAGCATGAGGACCTGAATTTAGATCCCCAGATCCCAAATAAAGCCAGAGGTGGTAGTGCACTTCTGTAATCTCAGTACTCCTATGGTAAGATGGGAGGTAGAGCAGGAAAATCCCTGGAAGCTCTCAGGTCAGCTGGTCCACCAGTGTAACAGTGAACAGCATGAGACCCTGTCTGAAACAGGCAGAACAGAAGGGCTAACCCCTGAGGATGTCCACATGCCTTCCATGGCACACATGCACCCTCACGCTAGTCGAGAAGAGAAGAGAAAATAAATGGAGAGAGACATCTGCTCCTTCATGCCTTGTCATTTAGTCTTCTCAGCAGTTCAGATTTTGAAGCATCCCTCCAGGAAATTGGAGGGGTGGTACCCTGCAGAAAAAGAGAGTTAACTTTTTGGTAGAAAGTGTCTAGCAAAACAAATGGAAACATCACCTTTGTGTTGTAGCATTTATTGAGATTTGCAGTACCAGACTGGGGTGAGGAATGTGCTGAAAAGCAGATGCCATATACTAGAAAGAAAGTTGACTGGGGTTCACTCACCTAATGAAGACTTAGAGAAGGATCATTTCCATGGGTTTGTTATCTCAGAGCTTCATGTGAAGGTGATCACAACATAGAACTCAGTGATAATAGCCTTAAGTTCTAGAACTGTGCAGAGACAGAATTGAGGCCTACTTACAATGGTTAATCACAATACCATCTAATAAGATACTTTGCACGCTCCTACTTTTTCCTCTCTCTAAGGAAACAGTGAAAAGCCAATAACCACAGCCATACGTGATGGCAAAGGCATTTAGTCCCAGCACTAGGAAAGTAGAAAGAATGAGAATTGGGAGTTCATGGCCATCTTCTGGTATATAACAAGCCAGATGCCATCCATAGCAAAAAGATAAATACATTTATAGTTAATTTCTGACACTTTTAGTAAGTAGTAGTTTTTTCTCTTTGCTGTCCTGTAAGCTGAAGAGAAAAGAAAAACATGAATTCCAGATCATATGGTCAGGGTATTGAGAGTTATGGCCAATAGGAAACCTGGAGTAGGAACAGGATGCGCTGAGGGCAGGGCACGCATTTGTCATGTTAGGGTACAGTGTTTCTATGGACAGCATCCAGGAAACATGTCTTTATACATGCTCCAGGTTAAAGATAGGTTGCTGTAATATTCAGACCAGTTTCACCCACAGTGATGGAGTTTTCTTTGTAGTGTTTACCACTTAATTACAAAGACTATGAGAGAGAGCCGAAGCTCTTAGATCCCTAGTACTGTGCTGGACATTGAGGATATAATTGAGCTAACTAGACTTTTCCTTTTGTCCTAAGACAAATAGACCGTCTTAGAGAATGAGGGCCGCGGAGGTGAGAATGATGACATGCAAGAGCTGAGTATGGCTCCAAGTGGCATGATTTAGGATGAAGGATCCTTTTACTTACTCCCCTCCCTAGACTGGCTTGGGCAGTGGCATGTGTCTTGAGTTAGAACTCCACTTCTGCTCATGTGCGCTATGGGCTCTGAAACTAAATCTGATTCCTAGTTTCCCATAGCCCCAGTGAACTCCAAAAACTTGATCCTTATACCATGAGATAGTTTGCGGGGTTTTTGTTGTTGTTGTTTTTCTTGGAGACACAGTCTCCCTGTACCCCTAGCTGGCCTGGAACTTGCTGTGTAGACCAGACTGGCCCGGAACTCACAGAGATCCTGCCTGCCTCTGCCTCCTGAGTGCTGGGGCTAAAGGTGTGTGCCAACACACCCAAGGAGCGCTGCATTTTTATGATTCTATTTTTCTTTTTAAAAGATGGACCTAAATCTTCCTAGTTGTAGGAACCAGTGCATCTCTCAGTTACGCTTTAAGAATTTTGCTTTTCTCTCCTTTTCTAAACAGTTGCATTTTTTTTTCTAATTAGCTATCCCTTGACTTGTAACATAAGTTCTTGTTTTGTACAAGAAGTTCTATCTACCGTACATTCAGAATGCCTTATGTAAAATGAAAGCCAGGTGAATGGTGAACACAGGTACAGTAGAGCAGTCTAGTTGCATGGGAAGCTAAGATAGCACTTTGGCAACCTCCCATGACAGAGACTTTCTTTGAAATCTATTTCTCTTTCTAGGCAGAATGGCTAATGCAGATTTGGTGAAGTATGGACTGGCTGATGTGGTAGAAAATCCTGGTATCATTACCGATATAGGAATGAAGGCAGTCAATGAAGTTTTTTCCTGTATCAAATACCTGGCAATTTATAATTGCCCCCATCTACATAATCCATACAATTGGATCTCAGGTACTATAAACTTTAACATGCTATTATGTTTTTTGGTAGTAAAATAAAATGTCTTTATTTTCTATGTGGTTGGATTACCTTCCTGGTATAAAATGTACATATTTTATAATCATATATTTTATATATTTTGTTCATAACAAGTTCTGAGAGCCATTAATAAATGAGTTGGATAGATAAGTAAATTCAGTGCCTCCTGAAAATTGTAAGGCTCTTACGACTAGAAATTTGCACTGTCTGCGTTGTAGACTTAAGTGCCCAAATCTTCTTGTACACTTCTTTGCTCATAAGATTTAACCCTGAGAATTACTGCCCAGGACCCTAGGACATTAGGACATTATCTGTGTTTACTTTGAGTTACCTTCAAGATGACATATCACCTGAAAGGACAAAGTAGGGATGTGTTTCTAAAACCTTTATTTATGTGATATATTAAACGTTAATGTGGTGAAAACATCTATGACTACTCTGTTTCTACCTTCCCTCATGTACAGAAGTGACTTTTGTACTTAATGTTTTTCCTTAAGGCATGAGTTCCTTTTCCTTTCTGAAAAAGTAATGCTGTTTGTTTTATTTGTTTTAAAAGTCCTTAACTGTCTAAATTTACAAAGCTTTAAATAGATTTAGAGCTAGAAGATGTTTTTCTTGTGATATCTACTTTAACCAAAGACCCTTGCACACACCTACCAAAACACTTGACCTGTGCTGTCAAATCTGCTTCGAGGGTCTGCATCTCCTTGCTCGAGGCTCTTAGTGCCCGTGGTCCTCTGCTCAGATCACTTGCCAGAGTGGCCATGTCTCACCTGTTGGAACTTAAATTCTGTCATTGGCCCAGCCGAACCACGATATTACTGGAAAATAAATGAACTTTAGGATATAGTGGGTATAGATCGCTTCAAAAAAGTAACATTTATTGGATTTTTGGTTTGTTTTTCTTAAATACAGAAGAGTATAAAGAAGAAAACAAAAAGTGGCTTATAATCCCATCACTCAGAACTCCTGTTAACACTTAAATTAAAGTAATACATGTACTTGATAAATTTCAGACAGTACAGAAAGGTACAAAATGAAAAAGTCTACTCTCCTCAAGGTAACCATCATCAACAGTTTCTTGTATATTCTTCTGGACAAATTACTTTGTGCATATTATGTCCTATAGCATTTAAAATGATTTCTATATAAAAGGATCTTCCTATATATACACTGTCCTGTACCTTATTTTTTGTACTGTGTTTGGAGAGCTCTCCATATCAGCAGGCATATTCAGCTTTTTCATTCTTTTGAAATAGGTGCATACTGTTCTACTAAGTGAATGTGCCATCTGTTGAAGGGCATGTAGGCTGATGAAGAGATCACATTTAGATCAGGGCTGACATAGCTTCAGGTTAATGTTTCCCAGGCCATGTAGTTCTCACAGTGAAATTAGCTGCAGAAGTCGTAATACGGAGTCATCATGTCTTAAAGATCATGAAATAAGGGAAAAGTTAGTTAAAGAAAAAAGATTTGAAAATCTTTTGTGACCTGTAGCAAAAATTCATCAGTAATGGGGAAAGTGATACACAAATTCTCTCGGTCATGTCATTTCTTCAACAGACCACTCTAGGTGGACACGACTAGTTGATATCAACCTCGTGCGGTGCCATGCATTGAAGCTGGATTCTTTTGGCCAGTTTATTGAATTATTGCCCAGCCTGGAGTTTATTTCGCTGGATCAGATGTTTCGTGAGCCACCCAAGGTGAATCACAGTTGAATTTTAATCTTTTTGACATGAAAGAAGAAAAACAAAACAAGCTGTGGTATTTTTGTTTTTAATAATATGTCTTTATACTGTTATAGTTGGACTTTTTACTACCAGCCTGATTGAAGGCATAAAGTTTATAATCGTGCAATACTTTCTTGATTTTCTTTTTAACTTTTACAAAAACTTTACTGAGAATTTCATACATACATATAAGGTGTTTTGATCCAATCCATGCCCACTCCCTCCCCTCCAACATTCCCCCCTCTGAAGAGGTAACCCTAAAATCTTTTAAGGATTAGATACAAGCTCCCAAATACTTTTGACATTTTGACATTTTTGGCCTTTGGAACAGAGTATGTTGCTAACAGGCCCAAGGACATTTTAACTTTTAGCCAAGAAACTGGCTACATTTCTTTGGGGTCTTTTTCCCCTCACTGTCTAGCCAGTTCCTGCCTCCTAGTCTTGCCTTCTTGTTCTTATAAGTGATAATAAGGGTTCTTCAAAGAAGGGAAAGGAAAAAAGGGGAAGCTGTTTCAGTTCTGTAAATTAATTAAGATAAAGGGGAACCTGCAAGTATGAGCTAGGAACTATTTCTACTTGTAGTATTTAGAAATTTTTCTTACTCAGGAACTCACCAAGTCCAAATAAGGACTAGGAATTTATATTAGAAATTTTACTTTGCTGCTATCTCTTCTAATAATTTCTAATATTCTAGGAAATCCAAGGTGGCCCCGTTGTACAAAATGTTATTTTAAAACTGCTTCATAGATAGATAGATAGATGTCTGCTCTCGTCATATGTTTTATGTTTATGGTTACTAGTGGTTCTATCCCCACTATTGAAGCAGTACGGTATAATGGAGTGAGCAGAGGACTCAGTCACAGAATTCAGTTTCAAGTCCCAGCTAAACCACTTATACTGTCAGACAAATGTCTTCCTAGTGTGTACCTTGTCATCTATAAATGAGGCTAGTAATGCTTTACCTTGCTTGAAGTGAGTCTTAAATGCTATCATATATATATGTATGCATGTATGTATGCTAAAGCATTTTGTTACGTGGTACCTAAATACTAGTCCTTATATAAAGACAGAATGAAAGGTTATGAGGCATTCTGCACTAACTCAAATTAATAAACATGTGGTTTGATTTTGCCTAGGGCTGTGCTCGAGTTGGTCTGAGTGCAGGCACAGGAATTGGGGTTTCCTCAGCCCTTGTTAGCAACCAGAACTCCAACAATGACAATGATAATAATGCCCAGAATAATAATGCTAACATCCATGACAACAATCACCATCACGCAGATGATTCAGATGAGGAGAATGACTTTCGGCAGGACCTGCAACCAGGAGAGCAGCAGTTCGCAGCTGATGGTAACCGAGGTCTTCTGTGAGCTCCAGATAGAAATGAGTTTTGCTTTGGTTCTCTGACCCCAACCTGTTCTTTTTCCCTTTCAACTTGCCACTCTCCACATTAGGGAAGCTAGTTGACAAGCAAATGAAAGGAAGGTTAAAATTTTCCTATTGACTTGCTTGTTTCCAAAGCTATCCTTGTCCACATATTGAATCTGTGAAAATGCAGAGAATGGGAGGGAGTGATAGATAGGATTAGAGGCTAGTTTATCTGAGATTTAACTTTGAGGGTTGTGGCAAAGCAGTCTCTCTTTCCCCCTCCTCCTCCCCCTCCCTCTCTCCCTTCCTCCCTTTCTCTCTCTCCTTAATATCTTTATTATATTTTTATTTATTGGTTTTGTGTGTGCGCATGTGTATGTTTGTGTGTAGAGGTCAGAGGACAACCAGCAGAGTTTGGTCCTCTCCTTCCACCATATCTTTCTCTGTAAAGTCTCATAACTACCCAGGAGATGAAGTATATGGGCTAATAATGGCCCCTGAGATTTCAGCTGTGTAATTATCCAATTCTTTCATATTGACTGAACAGCTGCTGTGTGCCAACACATATTAATAAGCTCCATCTGCCCTTCAGCTGATGAGTAAGAATAAGCTGAATTGGTTTCCTTTCTGGTTTTCCAGTTTCTCAGTTAACCCATAAAATCTACAAAAGGATTCTTTCTAGCCAGCTTTTTGTTGTGCTTTTTGTCCATTCCTCTGGATGTAGTAACTAACTGGAACTAGGACACCCTGAGATTATGTAATGACTTTGATAATGAAGGGCCTCACCAGAGAATCCTGTACACCCGGCCTACCACCTCCCCACTTCTCTGTGGAACTCTGTCTCAGCTAAGTCATTAGTGACTGGCCTGTCAAGCCTGCTGGTCATCTTACTGGACATCTGAATAATATTTGACATTCTGTCTTCTGCTTCTTTCTTTTGATACTATATTTTTCTTGGCACCTCTGTAGCCATTTTCCTGGTTTTTCCCTTACCTCATTCACATTCCTCCTCAGTTTCCTTTGTACCCTTCTATCTCTTTGTCCTTTATTTTTAAAAATTTCATTTTCATTAAGATCCATGACATTAGTACCATTATCTGCGGTTGAATTCCAGATCTTTTTAAAAAGCCTTGAACTTTGTGCTTCTTTGAAGTAAATGAGAAAGATATTTGGCTTTTAGTGTTTTTTTTGGTCTTTTTGAAGCAGGTTCTCCCTGTAGCCCCATCTGTCCTGGAACTCACTATGTAGACCAGGCTGGCCTTGAACTCACAGAGATCCACCTGCCTCTGCCTCCCAAGTGCTGGGACTACAGGCCTGCACCACCACGCCCGGTTGAGAAAGATACTTGGAAAGAAGGGACTGAGTTAAGTGTCTTGAATGTTGGCTTAGAGGGATTTGAATTTAATTTTGTAAACATCTGAAGTCAGCTATTACTATCGGCAGTAAATTGAAGCTTATCTACAATTTTTCATGGGACTTATCCTTTGGAATAATGTGAGGATGAAATCACATGTTCTTATTTGTTGAAAGACTGTAGGTGTGGTGAAGACTTTTTGATGAACATGAAGAATTAAAATGCTATCAAAGTATTATAACTGTAGGTTATTATATACACATACACACACACACCACACGCACGCATGCACGCGTGTGTGACAATCCAACCTCTAGAAAATAGAATGAGGAAGGTATAGTTTGTGTTTCCATGCTTGATATAGACTGAGCAGGGCAGCAGGTAGCACAAGGCTCACTGTTCATAAGCTAATTGCAGGGTCCTCTAGTAGCTGGCTTTCATTATCTTTAGACAAGTAGCTTAGAGGGAGACAAACCATATATATAGCCTCATTGGTAAACATCTTCAGGGGATGAGTACATTTTTTGTCTCAACTGTGTCCCTTTTTCAGTTTTTGTCTTCCAGTAATATACTTTCTCTAGCAAATAATCCTTTCTCACCTGTGATTTCCTCTTCTGTAGAATAGTGGGCACTTCTTTTTAATGTCTCTTCACTGAAGCAGTTACAGGCTGTTCTTTAGAAGGGGTCTACCAGTCAGTTTTACATGCAGCTGTGGTTCTCTGTGTTTTCCTTGGTTTTTACTTTGTTTATTTCTGTTTAAGCTTTGAATGAGATGGAAGACATGGTACAGGAAGATGGAGAGGTGATTGCTGAGAGTGGAAGTGATAGACCAGCTCACAGTCAGGCAGTTCTTCCTGTGGATGCAGATGAGGAGCAAGCAGGTAATCATGGACTCTTCCACATTCATCATTCTGGAAATTGGAGCCTGAGTACAGCAGAGAATAGGAATCACTGAGAAGGTTCTCTAACCTTGCAACTACTCATGTGTTGTATGCGATTTGATGTTGGGACTTGTACTACGTCATTGGTATCCCTCTTACCTAAGGCACATTTCTCTTGCTAAAGTTTTATTTTTTCCTCTGTAGCTGCAATGTCAGCTGCTTTTTCTGTGTAGCTGTGCATGGATGTAGAAAAAGAAAGCACTTAGATTGTTGATGGAAAATAAACAACCTGATGAAATACCCTGTTGGTACGCTTCCCTCATTTTAGAGAGGAAGAAGAGCAGGACACAGGCTGACCTGGTTTAGTAAGTAGACTGAAACCTGGTCTCTGGCACTGATTTATGGCAGGCTGCACTCACGGGCCTTTAAAAATACAGCCTTTTGCATTACTGATAGGAAGACATGTTTTTCAAAGGTGAATGACAAGCTCATCACTACTTATTGAAAATAGTGTTGCTTTGCTTTAAGTGTCTTTCAGATGCTGTCACTTACTCAGCATGCACTGAGTCTAACTTTGCATCACACAGTGTGACAGAAAAAAGAAAGGCAAAGTTTCCTGGTGCTTACAGTTTATGAGTGGAGCTTATGTTAGTCTTGTCAGAGCTGAAGGGTTAAAAGTTCTATTGCCAAGCAGATAAAGAAATTTTTTATATAAATGTATATACTCCCCCAAAATAGCATGTATCTGACCTTCAGGATAAACCTGTGATTAGTTAAAGAATGGGAGCTGCTCACTGGTCCCCTATGTTTCTTCTTTGCCTTGGCTCCTATATTTGCAGAACTGGAAAAATGTATAGCCTAGTTTTTAAATTATTATAACTGTTACTTTATTTTTTTATTATTTATTTTTATGTGTATGAGTATATTGTTTGCATGTATAAAAGTGCACCTATGTCATGCAATGCCCACAAAGGTCCAAAAAGAGTGTTGAATTCCCTTGGAATTGGAGTTACAGATGGTTGTTAGCCTCCATGTGGGTCCTGGGAATTGAACCCGGATCCTCTGCAAAAGCAGCCAGTGTTCTTAACAACCGAGACATCTCTCTAGTCCTGACTTTATTTTTAGTTGATTTATTCTACTTTTTGAAATATTGATTGTAGACTAGAGGCTGTATGATCTTCTGTTTAGGTTTGCCTTTAGGGATATGTAACATTGGTTGACATTCTAATCATACTTCCTGTTGTCATAATGCTTTAGAGTTTATATGCTTTCTCAGAATCTCATGCAGGTATTTGTTAAAGTGAGTGACAGGGGAGGCTACACAGACAAAAGTGTCTCTGACCCTAGGTCTTTGGAAATAGTACCTTCCATGAGAGGTTTCTTGGGCAAAGAGTATTTGTTAGTCTTCTGCTTTTTGTTTTAGGACCTAGTGGTCTTCAACGTGTGGTAAAACCAACCCCAATAACTGTTCATGATTCAGAGAGTGATGATGAAGAGGACAGTCTGGAACTCCAGGAAGTCTGGATTCCTAAGACTGGTGCTCGGCGCTATTCTGAACGGGAAGAAAAAACTGGAGAATCTTTACAACCCAGGGAATTGGCAGGTGGGTGGTGTCTTACCCTGATCGGTTACTCTAAGAGCCGGTACACTTGGTCTTTATAGTGTGCTCCTACTGCAGCTTATGGTACAGTTTGCATAATCCTTATGAAATGTGATAGGCAGAAAGGAGGGCAAGAAGAGAGTCCGAGTGATACTGTTGTGGGCATATGTAGTATAACAGAAATGTGGGGAGGGCAGTGAGAGTTAGGAGTCCCTCAGTGGGGCTGTAGGTGGCTGTGGCATCAAGATCTTAGGGACCAGCAAGAGGCCTGTAATTCTAAAAGGGAGGGGGTGGTAAGTATTAAGTAGAGCAGTGAAGAAAGAGTCACCTATTCATGCTTCTGTCCAGTTGTAGTTAGTGAAAGTTGGTGGCTGGTGTAGCACTTAAAGGAGTCCTAAAATACAGAGTATTGTTTTTTCCTTTGTTTCTGTGTTTGTTTTTTGGTGATGTTGGGGTTTTGAACACAAGGTGTTGAGCATGCTAAGCAAGCACTCTACCACTAAGCTATATGTCCAGCCCCCTAAAGTATGTTTTTGTAATTTCTTGCTGCCTTTTAATCTAGACAATAACTTATTCCCTTTGCCTTACTAAGAAGCTGTATTCTCTTAACTCCGGCTCATACTTCTTCCTTGTCTCTTCTCTCAGTTCTCAGAGCCACATACTCACCACTTTTAGCAAAGGATAAAATTTTTTCTAAATTGTCAACTCATTTTCCCTACTTAACTTATTAATATGTTTGAATTCAGCATATAGGTATCATTATATCTGAATTATGTATGCAAAGTTCAGTTTTTTTGGATTAGAACAATTTACTAACCACTGAAAGCTTGTTCCGTTTAAATTCAGATAGTACACTGTGGTTGAAGAGTCTTTGTGGAAACTAAGATTTAGGGAAAAAAAATGTAACCAACTGATTAACTTAAAATATTTCCTAGAAAGTTCAGTTTCTAAACTAGACAACTAAAGTCTTTATTGGCCAGACAAAACCTTACTTGTTTATTGCATTCTGTAGTCACTGAGTCTTACTGGGCTTTGGGGACTTCACTAGGCACTGTGTGAAGGTTACAGGATGAATTAAGTCCTGCTGTTGTTCTCTTTATGGAACCTTTAGTTGAAGAGTCAGGTTGGAAACATGGATAGCAGTGTTTTGGGGCCTATCCTGTAATGGCTTTGGAGTAGGGTGCAGAAGGGATTGCATAGAAGTTCGAGGTTAACTAGTTGGTTAGTGCAGAGGCCACACTGTGAAGCAGTATATTGAGAGAAATGCTGGGCTGGGTGCAGAATGTAGGTGGAGGGACTAAACAGAAGGTCAGTGTAGAATCACGACATGGTAGGCCTTAAAGGCTGAGCCGAGAAACAGACAGACACTAGGAACCAGACTAGAGTTTTGTAGCAGTGAAGTGATGTGAGCACTGTCACACTTTAGGAAAATTAGTCTACATTGTTTTCTGTTCCAAATTTGCTCTTGCCTTTTGTCCAGAATTTGTACTGAAATCTTTTCTTTTCCTCGGGCCGTTCTTCTTTTTCTGTAAGCAGTAAGTGGAAAAGGCAAGACTCCACTTCGAAAGAGGTACAACTCCCATCAGATGGGCCAGTCGAAGCAGTTTCCCCTCGAGGAGAGCAGCTGTGAGAAGGGCTGTCAGGTCACCAGTGAGCAGATCAAAGCCGATATGAAAGCAGCTAGGGATATTCCTGAAAAGAAAAAAAACAAGGATGCTTATCCCAGCTGCAGCAGCACCACCACCAGCACAGTGGGAAACTCCAGCTCACACAGCACTGCTTCTCAGAGCCCTGACTTTGTAAGGACGGTGACCAGCGGGGGCTCTTCCGAGCCTAGCCCTACAGAAATGGATGTGTCCAGGCAGTGTGTCTGCTCCCCCGGTGGGTCAGAGGACTCTGAGGCCATGGATGCAGAGAGTTCTGTCTGCCCCAGATGCTGCTGTCGCAGGCCCCAGGAATCCCAAAGGAGAACTAGCAGGTGTTCTGATGAGGAACGTCCTTCAACCAGCCGAGCCTGTGTTGTGAATGGCCCGGATGGTACGAGATCCGCCTTTTCCTATAGGACTCTGCCACAAGGGGGGTCTTCAGGCCCAGCGCATGATGAGAGGACTAATGGGAGTGGCTGTGGGGCTACAGGTGAGGACAGGAGGGGGAGCTCCCAGCCTGAGAGTTGTGACGTGCAGTCTAATGAAGACTACCCTCGGAGGCCCCTAACGAGGGCCCGGAGCAGACTGTCCCATGTACTGCTGGTATCTGAGTCAGGTATGACAATGCTCCCAGTATTAGCACCTGCAGAGTAGGGCTGGAGAAAGGCCTGAGCTTGTTCCATGAGTTTTCTTATACAAAGCTAGTTTATAGTAAATTGCACTGTCTTTGGGGATTCTGTGGATCACAGAGAGCTTGAAATAATTTTTAAGACACTTGTGGTGGATGGGGTTGTAAAGCACTTTGTGAAATATTTGATCCAAAAAACTTAGACTAGTGTAGCTTTTAAGAAAAGTTAACCTGTATGTATTTTCCCTAAATACAATATTGATTCTGTTGTCTAAGCCCCCGTAGGGGAACGTGCTCCCATCCACCAGTTAGGGATTCCTATGGAAAGACTTAGATAGGAAAGACTTAGAACTTAGGCAAAAGGACTTGAGACAGCTGGCCTGGGACACGTGAGCTCAGCAGTTTCCTGGAACTGCCTCTGCAGTGTTTAGTGATTCCC